AGGTTTGTGTAAGTACATTCTGTGCTTTTTGCCCAGCAACAAAATTGCCTAAGGATGCATTTCTCAAAGCATTTCCCGTCCTCAAGGGAAGCATGACTTGTAGTTGTCCCTAAGAACCAGGAGGCAGTGGTGTAAAAGAAATCTTTCCGTTTATTGTATGCTTTTTATGCTCTTTAAATTTGCTTAGATTACATATATTTCCTTTTCAAATCTGTATGTTTAAACAAATGGTAAGAAAGAACTTAATTGCACGAAAGTAGTTTGGTTTATACAGGCCTAACAAAATGATAAAATCTTACTGCAAGAAGATGCACACCCTAGAATAATTACGAGGCTGGGCAAATGTTCTTCCAATTTTTCCCACAAAGGGAAATTATAAATTTTGGAAATTAACATATGTTACCGTATGAGTAAGAAGGTTGACATAAAAGTTCTTAGAATTTCCCTGAGCATTTAGATAAGATAGTGGTTACTAATATTTATCAATAGAAAACACTTATTATGTTTAGACATTATATCATTTAATTCTTGAAACCAGGTCTGTCTACATAATTTGTGGGTCTAGTACAAACTGAAAATGAAAGCCTTCTTGTTCAAAACCTATTAAGAATTTCAAGACAGCAGAGCTTGAAACCAAGCATGAGAGCCTTCTTAGCAGGGGCGCTAGGCAACTGCATAAATTACAAACCCATGAAGCTGGCCTTGCTTGCAACACCCCTGTGAGATATGTGTTGTTCCTACTTTACATATGAAGAAAAACAATCAAAGCTTTGAGATAGTAATAAACCAGCCACAAATATTGCAGTATGTGAACTGCATATCTGGTGTTTAAAAATTATAGAGCCTGGTTCTAAGGCCTCCATTTAAGAAGAACCAGCCTTTAAACCTAAAGACAAGTAATTCTAAACAAACTCTTTTCCATTTTTATTAGGTCAATTAACTGATATAAAGAATATATATATTTTTTATTTTCATGAGGACATTTGGAAGTCATTTAAAATAGACTCATTAACAAAATGAAGAAAGGTGACTAGATAAGAATGTAGTTAGGTAGATTCAAAGTTTGTTGAATACACCTTGAACTATATTATAGTTTTGACTCTGCCCTATTCAACATTTTAGTGAAGACATTAAGTCCTTCTTATCAGGTTTGCAGTTGTTTTCATTCTAATGCATTTGGATAACAGTATTATAATTCCAAAGATTTTGATACATAGATAGAAATAATAGATTTAAAATAGCAATTTGGGTTACAATGGCTCAGCCTATAATCCTAAGAACTTTGGGAGGCTGAGTTGGGAGGATTGCTTGAGGGCCAGGAGTTCTAGACCAGCCTGAGAAAGAGCTAGACCCTATCTCTACAAAAAAAAAAGAAAAATTAGCCAGTCATGGTGGCATGCGCCTGTGGTCCCAATTACTCAGGAGGCTGAGGCTAAGGCTCAATTACTCAGTTGAGCTGAGGAGTTTGAGGTTGCCGTGAGCTATGATGATGCCACTGCACTCTAGCCTGGTGACAGAGTGAGACTCTGTCTCAAAAAAAAAAAAAAACAATTTGACAAAAAAGAAGTTTTGAAATTTTTATTTACTTACAAAAGCAACATTTTATGGAAAATATTTTATAGTACAGATTTACAAACTAAAAAGAATATGGAAATATACAGTGTACAGTATTATGTGTACTTTCTCTGTAAAAAAAATAACTAGTAATTTTTTTATCTTGCATTGTTCATTCAGTAATATAATGCAAACATTTTCCAATGATAATAATATTTGAAATACATACAATATGCTATCATATTCATGTACCATAATTTATTTAAACCATCATCTACTGACATTAGGTTGTTTCCAATGTTTACTATTATAAATGATCCTATAAACAGGTATAAATGTTATATTCAGCTTTCAGCATCAAATCAAATTTAAATATTAAGGTGCTAGCCAAGAGAAATCTGTTTTTATAACATTTCAAAAGAAACTTCCTTTATTACTATATGACCATCACATGCAATTATTTTTGTATTTTTCATGTGGCACTCGCCTTATTCACAGTAATTTGTGTGATTGTCACCTAAAGACAGAGCTTCCATTTTACTCATTTCTGAATGTCCTGTGGTGAATACATATTCAATAAATGTTGGGATTTTATTGAAACATTGTGATTCAGCTGCTGAATAACATACAATTTTAGATTGCTTTCATTGAATATGGTGTCCAAAGACAGAAAACCTTGGTTTTGGAGTACCAATCAAATTAGATCTACTTCTAGCAACTAACTGGCATTATAGAGCTTGGGAATGAGATTTATCAGGGTCATGATTATTATCACACTTCAAATCTTTAAAACTGTAAGGCAGAAACAATATTCAACTTTCTCTGTGTCCAAGGTTCAAAACAAATTTTAACTGAAAGAAGTTGTAATAAGTCAGACTTTCAGTAGGTGTTAAGATCTTTGCCAATGGAAAAGTTTGCTGCCGTACTAATAAAGGAATTGTCTACTTCTGGGAGTAGTGAATCCTATAAGCAGGTTATATTAAATGGCCTCCATAATCCCTCTCCTGTCTATAGTTTGTAATGATTCTAACACATAATTGTTTACAATCAATAACTAAAAGCCACAGGGAAATTGAGTACATGACTGATTTGTTTTATTCTATTATGTAGAGTAGTTTTTGAGAGTAATTATTAATTTGTTATATAGAATGAATTCTACACTGTATTTACAAGGTGAATGCACAGTTATTTTCTTCTCTATCTCAGAGGAAATGAAGTAGTATTTTCAATTACAGTGCAGTAGTATAGAACAATTATAGTACCATGTCTTACTACTGCTTTATTAAGAATTATTTTCTTTTCTCTCTTATGACGTTTACCATATTCTTAAATACAATTTCATAGTATATCATATCATTCTCTTTACCCTCCATAGGCATATCTACCCAATTTTATAATAGGTATCACTAAGAAAATATTATTAACATTACAGAAATTAATTTCACAGCCAATTATTCAGTAGTGAAAATGTTCTGAAAGATTAAATATAACTGCAAAAAAATTATCTTTGTATTTTCAGAATCTCTGCATTCTGGTGTCTGCACATTTAAAATTAGATATTTTCCCAATCCAAAATATATTCTAGCCATAATTATATGCAAAAAAAATTTCTCATGATTAAAAAATACTCCAATGTAAAAAAAATACTCTTAGAATCCTACTAAAAACTACATTTTCTTTTTGACTAGAGATAAACCTAATTTGATCATGTAATGGTCATCTTGTGTTAGAAACAATTACATTTGAATTTATATTTTAAGCATTTTAAAATATTTTGTTGTTTTCTTCTTTCATCTTGATATAACATGTCAATGGACAATATAATTAAAGTTGTTTGAGACTCAGTGATTGATTCAGAATAATGAATCTATGGAGATCTTAGAGAAGGTAAAACCTATGCTTGACACATGTAGAAACTCAGTATCTCTTAGTGTCTTCTTTTATTGTTTAGGTTACCAAAATGGAAGTCCCTCAGGCCCTGACATATGTAAAGATGTAGTTTGAACAAAAAGTATCATTTTTAAAAATACATATGTCAAAGCAATTTTTACATAAGATATCATGGAAAGGATATCATTCCTTCACTTTAATTGCCAATTTGAAAGCTGAAATAAGATTCTGCGGCTTCTCCGATTCCTCCAATTAAAGGAATCAGTCATCATATATGAGGCAGGGAGGTTCTTCCAATCTTTTCCCATAGCACTTGGCAAGTGCAGGAAAATTGCTAAAACTAATCTTAGCTCAGGCAAATCCCTGTCCCTGAGCTTGTACCTAAAAGTAGATCCAATGCAGGCCTTTTTTGGTCTTGTTGGAAATAGATCTTCCAAATTAGTTGGATTGCCAGAATGGTAATGATTAATATCCCAAAAGTTAACTTCACAGTCATAATAACAGGGGCATTGTGAGACAGAGAATATAATGGTTAAAGAAAGAAGGAGTGTCTCATAATTATGACTTATCTGTCTGGAAAAGCCCACATATTCATGAAGCTTCTCTGCCCTCCATCCACATCTGTCCCACCCATGAACCCTGCCAAGCCAGCCAGATGAGTAACACAGACAGAAATGCCTATCTTTCCTTGGACAGAGAATAGAATCAATAAGTCTGAGACCTGTTGATTTACATGATCTAGCAGTCAAAGGTATCTTAATTCCTCCTTTCATATGTTACTACATACCTCCAGGAGGCCATAAAAACTGATCATCTTAAAATGGACAGTGAGTGTGACCCAAAGTGGATGATCTCATGACAGCACTCCCAGAAGAGCCTCTGGAGCCCTAACTTTGAATCACTCTCTCTTTCTGGAGAGATCCTTGGAAATAATTAACTAGTAATAATTAGTAATGACTAAAATGCCTATGTGCCTATAACTGAGGGGGAATTTCAGAGGAAGGTAAAGCAGCAAATGTATCCCAACCCACAGGAAGCCCACATTTGTCCAAGGGACATGAACTGGCTGTTAACAAGTGATGATGGACAGATACACTGATAGACACATGCAACATGCATATGTCATTCATTTGGAATGTATTTTACATGCTATTAATAAACATTTACAGTGTACCAAGCAATGAAATTGGTGCTGAGATACCTTAGTAAAATTTATATTAACATTGTAAACAGTTTAAACAGCATTTCTAATTAAATATCCAATAACATTCCAAGTTTTTCTTTTTTGTTCCCTTTTTCCTATAGTTTGACCAGTAAATTGAAGAGGCACTGAATTCACATCTGGTGTTGAGATTATCTTCCTTTGCTATTTTAGTCAACATAACTTAAGTCAGATAAAACAATTTGATTTGGGTTCAATATGGTGCTATTTTGATCTGAAGGTCAGTCTACCAACAAGCAGGAACAGTTTCTCATTATTTTCCTTCACCACTCCATGCAGTCTTTACTGAAGTCTTTTGAGCAATGTCTGACCTCTGTTTCAATATTTCTCACAGATTTCACAGGCTGTCACCACCACTCAGCCATCACTAACACAGACAACTCTAATGGAAACGGTAACTATGGTGACCACAAGGGAACAAATCCTGGTAAAGCATGCCCAAGAGGAACTTCCACCACCACCTCCCCAAAAGAAGAGGCAGATTACTGTGGATTCTGAAATTAGGAAACGGTGAGAGCATCTTATTTCTGGCTTTATCTGTAAATGAAGCAGGAAAACTCATTTATAGCCGTATTGATGGGGAAGTTTTTACTTCAACAATATTTCCCAAGGCCTCAGGTACCTATAATGTCCATTAATTTTGTGAGAAAAATTCCGAAGTAAGTTTAAAAATTTGCCTTAAAAATCACTATCCCAACAAAAACTGAATGATTAAATGGAAATGCTGTTTTCTGGATTAAAATAAGAAACTATAGAGGATGAACTACCATGGACATGTTTTAATACTGAAAGTTTCTGTTTTTCTTGTAAAGGGCCTGCTTGTTCCGTCCCTAGTTTTGAATTAAATGTCTTTCTTCCAGTAATGGAAAGTACATTTTCATGAAGAAGTACACCTATAATAGACAAGATCCATTCTGCTAGTTTACGAGAACATAATGTCTCAATCTGCGCATCCTAAATCAGGAGTAATTACAGAACAGATTTCCTGTTCTTTGATATTTATAAAGTCTTATCTTGAAGGTGTTAGAATTTTTAACTGATCTTTTTGTGGATATTCTCAACTACACAGTGTAGCTAAGTTAGGTATTATGTAAATCAATGGATTATTAAAATGATGGCAATAAAATTTTATAAATGCAAAGCTAGCATGAAAATAACAAAAATGGTACAATTGTCCTTTCATTCCAGTAATTATAATTCTAAGATTAGGAAAGAACATTAAAATTTGCCTTATGTTTCTAAGCAGTATATGGTTAGGAATGTATAGAACACTTGACATTAGAATGTGCTTATACCAGGTATAGAAGTAAGGGAAGAACACATACCTAAAAATAATGTGTCAGATGTTCTAAGCAAATGAGAAGAAATCTAGAAAAGTTATTCAAATACATTATTTGGGATTTTCAATACTTCTCTATTAATTTGTGACTGATGACTTGCTTTGATAATTTAAAATAAATCAATGGGCCTATTCTCCCTGGTCTTGTCTGCCTGGCTGAGCAAATCTTTTAGTCCAGGGGTTCCCAAACTAAACCTTGCATACAAATCGTATCTGTTGCCAGTTTTTGTATGGCTCATGAGCCAAGATGTGTTTTTACATTTTTTAAATGGTTGAAAATAATCAAAAGAATAATAATAGTTCATGATATGTGAAAATTATATGAAATTCAAATTTCGATGTCCATGTCCATTGTAGGAATGAAGAGAATACTTCTTCACCCTGGAAGGTTTACTGAAAGATCAACTCATAATAAGGCCGATGAATAAGAAAAAGAGATTTATTTGCTGTGTGCATGGGGAGAATCACAAAGTGATTACCCAATAGCCCAATGGGGTCCAGAAGTTTATATATTCTTATTTTAGAGGGCCGGGGAGATAAGGAATATAGGGAATTCTGTTGAGTGGCAATATGTGATTACTAGGGAGGATGAATAGATACTTGGGAGAATGAATGGATGGGGGTGGGAAACAGATTGAGTTGTAAACGAGTCTATCTGGAAACTAAATTAATCTGAGAGACAGGTATTAAAATGATTTGGGCAAGGTCTGGTTACATTCTTGATCTTCTTTGCTGCAATATATTGAGATAACAAGGAAGGGAAGTGAAGTCAGTTCTTTTTGATGTTTTGTTTTGTTTTTTAATGAAGAAAGAGGGAAAGCCCCTTCCAATATCTGTGGTTTTCTAAGGGTCTTTAATTCAAAACGCTCTTTATACCAAGGAGTCATAGTTTGAGGTGAAATTTCCTGAACTCCTTCACCATAAATAAGGTTTTAGTGGGACACAACCACACTCTTTCATTTATGTATCATCTGTGGTTAGTTTCACATTACAAAAGCAGGGTTTGAATAGTTGTAACAGAAACTGTATAACCCACAAAGCCTAAAATATTTGCTAGCTGGCTGGTCACAGAAAAAGTTTGTTGACACCTGCTCTAGTCATGTGAATCTCAAATTCTATGAATATTATCATTCTTTTTGGAGCAACAACTTCCAAGTTCTCTACTTATGATAGTAGTTTAAACTTTAACATTCATTGATGAAGAAAAAAATTAATGGTACAAATAAATCAGTAAAGCCTTAAATGAATTTGTTTTCTATTAATCATAATAGCATGCACATTAATTTATTCAGTGTCACATTAAATATGTGTCCATAGAAAATTCTTAATGGATACATGTATTTACCGATATTTTGCAACATTCCATCAGTTCTTCAAGCAGAGTAGAGTAATATGGAAACCAAGTTGCCTAACACTCCTAACTTCTTCAGGACTTGACTAATGCAGAAATTAATTAAGCATATTGGTTGATATCAATCACTGTCTTCAAAAGCTTATTCTTGAATCCTGTTTTGAGAATGCATTTGGTTAAAAAAGTATTTTATACCTTTTTCTTTTTTTTGTTATCAGGAAAGAGTGGCTAATGGTGAAATACTTTGTCTCCTAAATTCTGTTTGTATAATAACATATGTTTTGGGCATTATTTGTCAGTGCCTGGAATGAGATGTCCGATTAGGAACATAAAGATTCCGTAAATAAAAGCTAACTATTATATACTCAGTACTGGATTCAGTGCTTTGTCTTCATAGCATTTATTCTTCCCAATAACTTTCCAAGATGTCTATGACTATTATTAATGTTACTATTATACATAGCTACAGAGCATGTGAGCCAGGATTTCAGCTCATGTAGCCTGGCTATAGAACCTGGATAGTATAGTAAACCATCTCGTTAGTAGGCATATGACTAAGGTGACCTTATGTCTTAATTTTTTTTTTTTTTTTTGAGACAGAGTCTCGCTTTGTTTTCCAGGCTAGAGTGAGTGCCGTGGCGGCAGCCTAGCTCACAGCAACCTCAAACTCCTGGGCTCGAGCGATCCTTCTGCCTCAGCCTCCTGAATAGCTGGGACTACAGGCATGCGCCACCATGCCCGGCTAATTTTTTTTATATATATATCAGTTGGCCAATTAATTTCTTTCTGTTTATAGTAGAGACGGGGTCTCGCTCTTGCTCAGGCTGGTTTTGAACTCCTGACCTTGAGCAATCCGCCCGCCTCGGCCTCCTAAGAGCTAGGATTACAGGCGTGAGCCACCGCGCCCGGCCTTATGTCTTAATTTACCTGAAGCTATCCCAGATTATACTTGTTGTCCCAACATAATTATATGTAGCACTTACACTCTCAAATGTGTCCTGATTTGGAAAAACAATTATATGAACATTCTATGTATAAGACACTAGAGGGATAAATTTAGACTGAACAAAGAGAGCAAAAGTACAAGCATTTAGGAACAATTAAATTTAATAATTGGTAATTGCCTACAGGATGAAATGTGGTTAAAATATTGTAATGGTTAAAGAGGCATCATGCCAACATGACTGAAAGCTTTATGTTGGCTAGTGTCACTCTCTTGTCCCATGTGAGAACCACTAACACATTTCACTGTGAATATTATGGTCTTGACAATCTATTGAATGCAGTTTTTTAAAAAAATGACATTCTTTTTCAGCTTCTGTGCCACGCTACCAGTTGTCCCCTTACCACTTTTTACCTGACTTGTTTTCCTCTCTCTGCCTAATTCCCATGGCAGTATCTTGTAAATATATCTCTTTACTTTTCTGGCTTCTTTAAGTGAATTTTCTCCTGTCATTGATTCAAGTCTGGTTCTAAATGAATGACTCCCAAATAGTGTAGCTCTATATCTGACTTTCTCCCTCAAATTTAAGCTTTATCTCTCTAAAGCTGTGATCTGGGTATTTCTACTTATACATCCAGCCACTGCAACATGTTTCATTTTTATCAAATACAAACATTGGTTGGCTCCGATTAACCATATCTACTTAATACATTGCACACACATTTTAGTTATTATAATTCATCGCCTATGTGTTTAAAGGAGTAGCAAATATTAGAAAAAAAGTCATGGCCTTTGGAATCAGAATTACTCAGGTTTGAAACTTGCCTGTTTTAATTATTAGCTAATTATCTCAGGCAAATTTCTTAATATCTGTGCCTCAGATTTAATATTCTCGCTTTATAAAATGTTGTGAGGATTAAGTAAGAGGCATTTAATATAGTGCCTATAAAGTAGTAAATGTTCAATAAATGCAGTAGTTATTATTTTGCTGTTTAGTTGTGGTGTAGATGGTGAAGATGGAGGAGAGGGCAGTGGCAGTAGAAGTGGAAGTGATGGTTGTAGAGGTGGAGGTAATAGAGGTGGTAATGATGGTGGTGGAAGTAGTGGTAGAGACCGTGTTTGTGTATTACTGATAGGGGAAAAAAATCCCACAATAAACATCATCTCAAACTTTACAAATATAAAAATACCTTATCCTCTTTAAAACAGAATTTACCACCCAACTTCTCCAGTTCCATCAAACTCTTTCTCCTATTTTGATCCTTATTTATTATTATTGGTCAAGTTCCATCATTTCAGTAGTTTTTCAATCATTCTAACTGGCAACTTCATAACTTAAGCCATATACCTCCCTGTAGTTAAAGTTGTCTCCCTTTCTAATTAATATACCTAAAATTAATGTATGTAAACTGTTGCTTTTATGTTGGCACTCCAGCCCTGAGATCCCTATAATTACAATTGCCTCCAATATAAAACATAAGCCCTTTTATTACTGAAAGCTTGGCACTTGTCCATGAGCTTGCATCAGAATGAGGACAAATGGTTAAGGAAAAGGAAAGAGAAGTTTATTACTTTGCCAACAAAGGAGGAAGATGGCAAGTTATTGTCTCAAGCCCAAATTCCTGTACTTAACTAGATATATAGAGCTTTTAAAGGGAGAGACCTCAGTTCTAGGCTATTGTTTCTTAACTACAGTTAATTATTTTAATTGTCTCATCTCTGCTGGGGGGCCCACCCAGACCTCCACCCTTCCTGACCACCTTCCTGAGGCAGGGATGCAGGTCTCAGTTCCCCAAAAGAGTAGGGGAACTTTTAAAGAGACATAAAACATATTTTGCCATTTTTTCCAGACCATTCCCTCTGTTACATTTCCTTAT